GGACCATGCAAGCTCCTAGACCAGGCAAGCTACTGGACCAGGCAAGTTTCTGGACCAGGCAAACTCGTGGACCAGGCACGCTCCTGGACCAAGGAAGCTCCTTGACCAGGCAAGCTCCTAGACCAGGCAAGCTCCTGGACCAGGCAAGCTCCTGGACCTCGCAAGCTCTTGGACCACGCAAGCTCTTGGACGAGGCAAGCTCCTGGACCAGGCAAGCTCCTGGACCAGGAAAGCTCTTGGACCATGCAAGATCCTGGACTACGCAAGCTCTCGGACCAGGCACGCTCCTGGACCACACAAGCTCTTGGACCAGGCAAGGTCCTAGACCAGGCAAGTTCCAAGACCAGGCACGCTCGTGGACCATGCACGCTCCTGAACCAGGCAAGCTCTTGGACCAGGCAGGCTCGTGGACCAGGCAAGCTCCTGGACCAGGCAAGCTCCTGGACCAGGCACGCTCGTGGACTATGCACGCTCCTGGACCAGGCAAGCTCTTGGATCAGGCAGGCTCGTGGACCAGGCAAGCTCCTGGACCACAAAAGCTCCTTGACCAGGCAAGCTCCAGGAACAGGCAAGCTCCTGGACTAGGCTCGCTCGTAGACCAAGCACGCTCCTGGACAAGGCACGCTCTTTGACCAGGCAAGCTCGTGGATCAGGCACACTCCTGGACCAGGCAAGCTCGTGGACCTAGCAAGCTCCTCGACGAGGCAAGCTCTTTGACCACGCAAGCTCCTGGACCAGGCAAGCTCTTGGACCAGGCAAGCTCCTAGACCAGGCAAGTTCTTGGACCAGGCAAGCTCCTGGACCAGGCAAGCTCCTGGACCAGGCAAGCTCTTGGACCAAGAAAGCTCCTCGACAAGGCAAGCTCCTGGACCAGGCACGCTCGTGGAACAGGAAAGCTCTTGGACCAAGCAAGCTCCTGGACCAAGCAAGCTCCTGGACCAGGATAGCTCCTGGACCAGGCAAGCTCCTGGACCAGGCACGCTCCTGGACCATGCAAGCTCCTAGACCAGGGAAGCACCTGGACCAAGCAAGTTTTTGGACCAGGCAAACTCGTGGACCAGGCACGCTCCTGGACCAGGCAAGCTCCTGGACCAAGAGAGCTCCTAGACCAGGCAAGCTCGTGGACCAAGCAAGCTCCTAGACCACGCAAGCTCTTGGACCAGGCAAGCTCTTGGACAAGGCAAGCTCTTGGACCAGGCAAGCTCGTGGACCATGCAAGCTCCTGGACCACGCAAGCTCCTAGACCACGCAAGCTCTTGGACCAGGCACGCTCCTGGACCAGGCAAGCTCTTGGACCAGGCAGGCTTCTGGACTAAGCAAGCTTTTGGACTAGGCAAGCTCCTGGACCAGGCACGCTCGTGGACCATGCACGCTCTTTGACCAGGCAAGCTCTTGGACCAGGCAGGCTCGTGGACCAAGCAAGCACCTGGACCAGGCAAGCTCCCGGACCAGGCAAGCTCCTTGACCAGGCAAGCTCCTAGACCAGGCAAGCTCCTGGACCAGGCTCGCTCGTAGACCAGGCACACTCCTGGACCAGGCACGCTCTTGGACCACGCAAGCTAGTGGATCGACACGCTCCTGGACCAGGCAAGCTCGTGGAACGGGCAAGCTCATCGACCAGGCAAGCTCTTGGACCAGGCAAGCTCCTGGACCAGGCAAGCTCCTGGACCAAGAAAGCTCCTGGACAAGGCAAGCTCTTGGACCAGGCACGCTCGTGGAACAGGCAAGCTCCTGGACCAAGCAAGCTCCTGGACCAGGCAAGCTCCTGGACCAGGATAGCTCCTCGACCAGGCAAGCTCCTGGACCAGGCACGCTCCTGGACCATGCAAGCTCCTAGACCAGGAAGCTCCTGGACCAGGCAAGTTTCTGGACCAGGCAAACTCATGGACCAGGCACGCTCCTGGACCAAGGAAGCTCCTTGACCAGGCAAGCTACTAGACCAGGCAAGCTCCTGGACCAGGCAAGCTCCTGGACCTCGCAAGCTCGTGGTCCGGGCAAGCTCCTCGACCAGGCAAGCTCTTGGACCAGGCAAGCTCCTGGACCAGGCAAGCTCCTGGACCAGGCAAGCTCTTGGACCAGGCAAGCTCCTGGACCAGGCAAGCTCTTGGACCAAGAAAGCTCCTGGACAAGGCAAGCTCCTAGACCAGGCACGCTCGTGGAACAGGCAAGCTCATGGACCAGGCAAGCTCCTGGACCAGGCAAGCTCCTAGACCAGGCAAGCTCGTGGACCAGGCAAGCTCGTGGATCAGGCAAGCTCGTGGACCAGGCAAGCTCCTGAACCGCGCAAGCTCCTAGACCACGCAAGCTCTTGGACCAGGCACGCTCCTTGACCAGGCAAGCTCTTGGACCAGGCAGGCTTCTGGACCAAGCAAGCTTTTGGACCAGGCAAGCTCCTGGACCAGGCAAGCTCCTGGACCAGGCACACTCGTGGACCATGCACGCTCTTAAACCAGGCAAGCTCTTGGACCAGGCAGGCTCGTGGACCATGCAAGCTCCAGGACCAGGCAAGCTCCCAAACCAGGCAAGCTCCTTGACCAGGCAAGCTTTTGGACTAGGCAAGCTCCTGGACCAAGCACGCTCGTAGACCATGCTCGCTCCTGGACCAGGCAAGCTCCTGGACGAGGCAAGCTAACGGACCAAGAAAGCTCTTGGACAAGGCAAGCTCCAGGACCAGGCACGCTCGTGGAACAGGCAACTCCTGGACCAGGCAAGCTCCTGGACCAGGATAGCTCCTAGACCAGGCAAGCTCCTGGACCAGGCAAGCTCATGGACCATGCAAGCTGCTAGACTAGGCAAGCTCCTAGACCAGGCAAGCTTCTCGACCAGGCAAACTCGTGGATCAGGCACGCTCCTGGACCAGGCAAGCTCCTGGACCAGGCAAGCTCCTAGACCAGGCAAGCTCCTTGACCAGGCAAGCTCCTGGACCACGTAAGCTCTTGGACCAGGCAAGCTCTTGGACCATGCAAAGCTCCTGGACCAGGCAAGCTCTTGGACCAGGCAAGCTCCTGGACCACGCAAGCTCCTGGACCACGCAAGCTCTTGGACCAGGCACGCTCGTGGACCTGGCAAGCTCTTGGACCTCTGGACCAAGCAAGCTATTGGACCACGCAAGCTCCTGGACCAGGCAAGCTGTTGGACCAGGCAAGCTACTGGACCTGGCAAGCTCTTGGACCAGGAAATCTCCTGGACTAAGCAAGCTCCTCTACCAGGCAAGCTAACAGACCAAGAAAGCTCCTAGACAAGGCAAGCTCCTGGACCAGGAATGCTCGTGGAAGAGGCAAGCTCCTGGACCAGGCAAGCTCCTGGACCAGGCAAGCTCCTGGACCAGGCAAGCTCCTGGACCAAGATAGCTCCTGGACCAGGCAAGCTCCTGGACCAGGCACGCTCCTGGAGCATGCAAGCTCCTGGACCAGGCAAGCTTCTGGACTAGGCAAACTCCTGGACCTGGCACGCTCCTGGACGAGGCAAGCTCGTGGACCAGGCAAGCTCCTAGACCAGGCAAGCTCCTGGACCAGGCAAGCTCCTGGACCACGCAAGCTCTTGGACCAGGCAAGCTCTTGGTCCAGGCAAGCTCCTGGACTAGGCAAGCTCCTGGACCAGGCAAGCTCCTCGACCACGCAAGCTCCTGGATCATGCAAGCTCTTGGAACAGGCACACTCCTAGACCAGGCAAGCTCTTGGACCAGGCAGGCTTCTGGACCAAGCAAGCTATTGGACCACGCAAGTTCCTGGACCAGGCAAACTCCTGGACCAGGCACGCTCGTGGACCGTGCACGCTCCTGGACGAGGCAAGCTCTTGGACCGGGCAGTCTCGTGGACCAGGCAAGCTCCTGGACCTGGCAAGCTCCTGGACCAGGCAAGCTCCTTGACCAGGCAAGCTCCTGGACCAGGCAAGCTCCTGGACCAGGCACGCTCGTGGACCATGCACGCTCTTGGACTAGGCAAGCTCTTGGACCAAGCACGCTCCTAGAACAGGCAAGCTCTTGGACCAGGCAATCTCCTGGACCAGGCAAGCTCCTGGACCAGGATAGCTCATGGACCAGGCAAGCTTTTGGACCAGGCACGCTCCTGGACCATGCAAGCTCTTAGACCAGGCAAGCTCCTGGACCAGGCAAGCTTCTGGACCAGGCAAACTCGTGGACCAGGCACGAACTTGGACCAGACAAGCTCCTGGACCAGGCAAGCTCCTAGACCAGACAAGCTCCTGAACCATGCAAGCTCCTGGACCAGGCAAGCTCCTGGACGGGGCAAGCTCCTTGACTAGGCAAGCTCCTGGACCAGGAAGGTTCATGGACCAAGCACGCTCGTGGACCATGCACGCTCTTGGACCAGGCAAGCTCTTGGACCAGGCACGCTCCTCGAATAGGCAAGCTCCTGGACCAGGCAAGCTCCTGGACCAGGATAGCTCCTGGACCAAGCAAGCACCTGGACCAGGCACGCTCCTGGACCATGCAAGCTCCTAGACCAGGCAAGCTTCTGGACCAGGCAAACTCGTAGACTAGGCACGCTCCAGGACCAGGCAAGCTCCTGGACCAGGCAAGCTCCTAGACCAGGCAAGCTCGTGGACCACCCAAGCTCTTGGACCAGGCAAGATCCTAGACAAGGCAAGCTCCTGGACCAGGCAAGCTCCTAGACCAGGCAAGCTCTTGGACCAGGCAAGCTCCTGGACCACGCAAGCTCTTGGACCAGGCAAGCTCTTGGACCAGGCAAGCTCCTGGACCTCGCAAGCTCCTGGACCAGGCAAGCTCACGGACCAAGAAAGCTCCTGGACAAGGCAAGCTCCTGGACCAGGCACGCTCGTGGAAAAGGCAAGCTCCTGAACCAGGCACGCTCCTCGACCAGGCAAGCTCCTGGACCTCGCAAGCTCTTGGACAAGGCAAGCTCTTGGACGAGGCAAGCTCCTGGACATGGACGTAGACGTGGACGTGGACCTGGACGTGGACGTGGACATGGACATGGACGTGGACGTGGACGTGGAGGACTTGGACGTGGAGGATTTGGATGTGGATTGATGTGAACGTGGACGTGGACATGGACGTGGATGTGGACATGGACGTGGACGTGGACGTGGAGGACTTGGACGTGGACATGGACGTGGACATGGACGTGGACTTGGACGTGGACATGGACTTGGACATGGACGTGGACATGGACGTGGACATGGACTTGGACATGGACATGGACATGGACGTGGACGTGGACGTGGACGTGGACGTGGACGTGGACGTGGACATGGACGTGGACATGGACGTGGACGTGGACATGGACGTGGACATGGACGTGGACATGGACGTGGACGTGGACGTGGACGTGGACGTGGACGTGGACGTGGACATGGACGTGGACATGGACGTGGACGTGGACGTGGACGTTGACGTGGACATGGAAGTGGACGTGGACGTGGACGTGGACGTGGACATGGACATGGACGTGGACGTGGACGTGGACGTGGACATGGACATGGACGTGGACGTGGACATGGACGTGGACGTGGACATGGACGTGGACATGGACGTGGACATGAACGTGGACATGGACGTGGACGTGGACGTGGACGTGGACGTGGACATGGACGTGGACATGGACGTGGACGTGGACGTGGACGTGGACGTCGACATGAACATGGACGTGGACGTGGACATGGACGTGGACGTGGACATGGACGTGGAGGACTTGGACGTGGACTTGGACGTGGACGTGGACGTGGACATGGACGTGGACGTGGACGTGGACGTGGACATTGTCGTGGACGTGGACGTGGACGTGGACGTGGACGTGGACATTGTCGTGGTCGTGGACGTGGACGTGGACGTGGACGTGAACGTGGTCGTGGACGTGGACGTGGACGTTGAGGTGGACATGGACATGGTCATGGACGTGGACGAGGACGTGGACGTGGACGTTGACGTGGACATGGAAGTGGACGTGGACGTGAACGTGGTCGTGGACATGGACGTGGACGTGGACGTGGACATGGATGTAGACGTGGACGTTGACGTGGTCGTTGACTTGGACGTGGAGGTGGACGTGGACGTGGACGTGGTCGTGGACATGGACGTGGACGTGGACGTGGACGTGGACATGGACGTGGACATGGACATGGACGTGGACCTGGACGTGGTCGTGGACGTGGTCGTGGACGTGGACGTGGTCGTGGACGTGGACGTGGTCGTGGACGTGGACGTGGACATGGACGTGGACGTGGACGTGGTCGTGGACGTGGTCATGGACGTGGAGGACTTGGACGTGGAGGACTTGGACGTGGAGGACTTGGACGTGGACGTGGACGTGGACGTGGACGTGGAAGTGGTCATGGACGTGGTCGTGGACGTGGAGGACTTGGACGTGGAGGACTTGGACGTGGACGTGGACATGGACGTGGACGTGGTCGTGGACGTGGATGTGGTCGTGGACGTGGTCGTGGACGTGGACGTGGTCGTGGACGTGGTCGTGGACGTGGACGTGGACGTGGTCGTGGACGTGGAGGACTTGGACGTGGAGGACTTGGACATGGACTGACGTGGACGCGGACGTGGACGGGGACGTGGACGCGGACGTGGACGCGGACGTGGACGCGGACGTGGACGTGGACGTGGACGTGGACGTGGACGTGGACGTGAACGTGGACGAGGACGTGGACGTGGACGTGGACGTGAACATTGATACGTGGACGCGGACGTGGACGTGGACGTGAACATTGATACGTGGACGTGGACGTGGTCGTGGACGTGGACGTGCACGTGGACGTGAACGTGGTCGTGGACGTGGACGTGCACGTGGACGTGAACGTGAACGTGGACGTGGACGTGAACGTAGACGTGGACGTGAACGTGGACGTGAACGTGAACGTGGACGTGAACGTGAACGTGGACGTGGACGTGAACGTGGACGTGAACGTGAACGTGGACGTGGACGTGCACGTGGACGTGAACGTGAACGTGGACGTGAACGTGGACGTGGACGTGGACGCGGACGTGGACGTGGACGTGGACGTGAACATTGATACGTGGACGTGGACGTGGACGTGGACGTGGACATGGTCGTGGACGTGGACGTGGACGTAGACATGGTCGTGGACCTTGACGTGGACGTGGTCGTGGTCGTGGACGTGGTCGTGGACGTGGACATGGACGTGGACGTGGACGTTGACGTGGACGTGGACGTGGACATAGACGTGGACGTGGACGTGGCCGTGGACGTGGTCGTGGACATGGACGAGGACGTGGACGTGGACGTGGACGTGGGCGTTCACGTGGGCGTGGACGTGGACGTGGACGTGGACGTGGACGTGGGCGTTGACGTGGTCGTGGACGTGGTTGTGGACGTGGACGTGGACGTGAACATTGATACGTGGACGTGGACGTGGACGTGGTCGTGGACGTGGACGTGGACGTGGACGTGGACGTGGACGTGGTCGTGGACGTGGACGTGGACGTGGACGTGGACGTGCACGTGGACGTGGACGTGAACGTGAACGTGGACGTGGACGTGGACGTGAACGTGAACGTGAACGTGAACGTGAACGTGAACGTGGACGTGGACGTGAACGTGGACGTGGACGTGGACATGAACGTGGACGAGGACGTGAACGTGGACGTGGACGTGCACGTGGACGTGAACGTGAACGTGGACGTGAACGTGGACGTGGACGTGGACATGGTCGTGGACGTGGACGTGGACGTGGACGCGGACGTGGACGTGGACGTGGACGTGAACATTGATACGTGGACGTGGACGTGAACGTGGACGTGGACGTGGACATGGTCGTGGACGTGGACGTGGACGTAGACATGGTCGTGGACCTTGACGTGGACGTGGTCGTGGTCGTGGACGTGGTCGTGGACGTGGACATGGACGTGGACGTGGACGTAGACGTGGACGTGGACGTGGACATGGACGTGGACGTGGACGTGGACGTGGACGTGGACATGGAAGTGGATCTGGACATGGACGTGGACGTGGTCGTAGTCGTAGACGTGGACGTGGATGTGGACGTGGACGTGGAGGACGTGGATGTGGAGGACGTGGACGTGGACGTGGAGGACGTGGACGTGGACGTGGACGTGGACGTGGTCGTGGACGTGGAGGTTGACGTGGACGTGGACGTGGTCGTGGACGTGGAGGACTTGGACGTGGACATGGACGTGGACGTGGACGTGGACGTGGACATGGTCGTGGACGTGGACGTGGACGTGGACGTGGACGTGGACGTGGACATGGACGTGGACGTGGACGTCGACGTGGACGTGGACGTGAACGTGGACGTGGACATGGTCGTGGACGTGGACGTGGACATGGACGTGGACGTGAACGTGGACGTGGACGTGGACATGGACGTGGACGTACACGTGCACGTGGAAGTGGACATGGTCGTGGACGTGGACGTGAACGTGGACGTGGACGTGGACATGGTCGTGGACGTGGACCTGGACAGGAGCGTGCCTGGTCCACGACCGTGCCTGGTCCAGGAGCTTGCCTGGTCTAGGAGCTTGCCTGATATGGAGCTTGCCTGGTCCAGGAACTTGCCTGGTCCAGGAACGTGCCTGGTCCAGGAGCTTGCCTGGTCCATGAACGTGCCTGGTCCAGGAGCTTGCCTGGTCTAGGAACTTGCCTGGTCCAGGAACGTGCCTGGTCCAGGAGCTTGCCTGGTCCAGGAACGTGCCTGGTCCAGGAGCTTGCCTGGTCTAGGAGCTTGCCTGATCTGGAGCTTGCCTGGTCCAAGAGCTTGCCTGGTCCACGAGCCTGCCTGGTCCAAGAGCTTGCCTGGTCCAGGAACGTGCCTCGTCCACGAGCGTGCCTGGTCCAGGAGCTTGCCTGGTCCAGGAGCTTGCCTGGTCCAAGAGCTTGCCAGGTCCAAGAGCTTGCCTGGTCCAGGAGCTTGCGTGGTCCATGAGCTTGCCTGGTTCAGGAGCTTGCTTGGTCCACAAGCTTGCCTGGTCCAAGAGCTTGCCTCGTCCAGGAGCATGCCTGGTCCAAGAGCTTGCGTGGTCCTGGAGCTTGCCTTGTTCGGGAGCATGCCTGGTCCACGAGCGTGCCTGGTCCAGGAGCTTCCTGGTCCAGGAGCTTGCCTTGTCCAGGAGCTTGCCTGGTCCCTGAGCGTGCCTGGTCCACGAGCCTGCCTGGTCCAAGAGCTTGCGTGGTCTAAGAGCGTGCCTAGTCCACGAGCGTGCCTGGTCCAGGAGCTTGCCTGGTCCATGAGCTTGCCTGGTCCAGGAGCTTGCCTGGTCCAGGAGCTTGCTTGATCCAGGAGCATGCCTGGTTCAGGAGCTTGCCTGGTCCAGGAGCTTACCTGGTCCTAGAGCGTGCCTGGTCCAGGAGCTTGCCTAGTCCAGGAGCTTGCTTGGTCCAGAAGCGTGCATGGTGCAAGAGCTTGCCTGGTCTAGGAGCGTGCCTGGTACAAGAGCATGCGTGGTCCCGGAGCTTGCCTTGTCCAGGAGCTTGCCTGGTCCAGGAGCGTTCTTGGTCTAGGAGCTTGCTTGGTTCAGGAGCATGCCTCGTCCACAAGCGTGCCTGGTCTAGGAGCTTGCTTGGTTCAGGAGCTTGCCTGGTCTAGGAGCTTGCCTGGTCCAGGAGCGTGCCCGGTCCAGGAGTGTGCCTAGTCCAGGAGCTTGCTTTGTCCAGAAGCCTGCCTGATCCAAGAGCTTGCCTGGTCTAGGAGCGTGCCTAGTCCAAGAGCTTGCCTAGTCTAGGAGCTTGCCTGGTCCAGGAGCTTGCCTGGTCCAGGAGCTTGCCTAGTCTAGGAGCGTGCCTGGTTCATGAGCTTGCCTGGTCCAGGAGCTTGCCTGGTCCAAGAGCTTGCGTGGTCCAAGAGCTTGCGTGGTCCTGGAGCTTGCCTGGTCCAGGTGCTTGCCTGGTCTAGGAGCTTGCCTAGTCCAGGAACTTGCGTGGTTCAGGAGCGTGCCTGGTCCACGAGTTTGCCTGGTCCAGAAGCTTGCCTGGTCCAGGAGCTTGCTTGGTCCAAGAGCTTGCCTGGTCCAGGAGCTTGCTTGGTCCAGGAGCTTGTCTGGTCTAGGAGCGTGCCTGGTCCACAAGTTTGCCTGGTCTAGAAGCTTGCCTGGTCCAGGAGCTTGCCTAGTCCAAGAGCTTGCCTGGTCCAGGAGCTTGCCTGGTCCAGAAGCTTGCCTAGTCCACTAGCTTGCCTGGTCCAAGAGCTTGCCTGGTCCAAGAGCTTGCGTGGTCCAAGAGCTTGCCTGGTCCAGGAGCTTGCCTGGTCTAGGGGCTTGCCTATTCCAGGAGCTTGCCTGGTCCAGGAGCGTGTCTGGTCCACGAGTTTGCCTGGTCAAGAAGCTTGGGTGGCCCAGAAGCTTGCCTGGTCCAAGAGTTTGCCTGGTCGAGGAGCTTGCCTGGTCCAGGAGCTTGCTGCGGAGATAACTACTACAACGGGAGCTAGACTACTGGCTAGGCACGTGTGCTCGTGTGATCTCTGCGTTCGTTGGTCCTTAGACGTTTTCCTAGTGCTAACATTGCTTGCTAGTTCATGTGGCAATTTGGCAAGAGTTTCACTAAGAAAAGATCACAACAATGGTACAATGAAGTTGGCAATGCAAGACTATATCAGAGCTAGCATTCAGGTTGGTCAACTGCCAGCACAGCATGGTCGACCGCATTCCAACACGACTTGGTCGACCGCACTCCAGCAGAGTAAAGTCGACAGCTTGCCAATGCTTCAGGTCGACGGTGTGCCAGCAGTGCACCCGCTTTGCAGGTGCGTGCAGATGATTGGTATGCCGAGCCTCATCACCTGCTCGACGACCATGCCTCGACGACCATGTCACTCGACGCCCGACTGCTCGACGCCCGACTGCTCGACGTCCTGACTGCTCGACGTCCTGCTACTCGACGTCGACCCCTCCTTCGTCGACCACCGGTCCAGTCGACCACCCGCAGGTCGACCAGCACATCAGCCGACCACCAAAGTCGGCTTCCCAAGTTGACGTCCTCCGCAGGTCGACGCTTAAGTCGACCTCCCCGAAGTTGGCGCCACCCCGAAGTCGGCGCCCGTGCAGTGGTCCCCGTGCAGGTCGACCTCCTCGTCGACCAGCTCGCCCACTACTGCAGGTCGGCTGCTCCCCTAACACCTGACCACGATGTCGGCTCCGCCCAAGCGTGGACGGGGCCAACATACAACTCCCGTTGACACTTGCCTGGTCGAGGAGCGTGCCTGGTCCACGAGTTTGCGTGGTCCAGAAGCTTGCCTAGTCCAGGAGCTTGCCTAGTCCAGGATCGTGCCTGGTCCACGAGCGTGCCTCGTCCAGGAGCTTGCCTGGTCGTGGCGCTTGCCTGGTCCAGGAGCTTGCCAGGCCCAGGAGCGTGCCTGGTCCACGAGCCTGCCTGGTCTAAGAGCTTGCCTGGTCCAGGAGCGTGCCTGGTCCACGAGCGTGCCTGGTCCAGGAGCTTGCTTGGTTCAGGAGCTTGCCTGGTCTAGGAGCTTGCCTGGTCCAGGAGTGTGCCTGGTCCAGGAGCTTGCTTTGTCCAGAAGCCTGCCTGATCCAAGAGCTTGCCTGGTCTAGGAGCGTGCCTAGTCCAAAAGCTTGCCTAGTCTAGGAGCTTGCTTGGTCCATGAGCGTGCCTGGTTCATGAGCTTGCCTGGTCCAGGAGCTTGCCTTTTCTAGGAGGTTGCCTGGTCCAAGAGCTTGCCTGGTCCAAGAGCTTGCCTGGTCCAGGAGCTTGCCTGGTCCAAGAGCTTGCCTAGTCCAAGAGCTTGCGTGGTCCTAGAGCTTGCCTGGTCCAGGAGCTTGCCTCGTCTAGGAGCTTGCCTAGTCCAGGAGCTTGCGTGGTCCAGGAGCGTGCCTGGTCCACGAGTTTGCTTGGTCCAGAAGCTTACCTGGTCCAGGAGCTTGCTTGGTCCAAGAGCTTGCCTGGTCCAGGAGCTTGCCTGGTCCAGGAGCTTGTCTGGTCCACGAGTTTGCCTGGTCGAGAAGCTTGCCTGGTCCAGGAGCTTGCCTGGTCCAGGAGCTTGCCTGGTCCAGGAGCTTGCCTGGTCCAGGATCTTGCCTGGTCCAGGAGCTTGCCTAGTCCACTAGCTTGCCTGGTCTAAGAGCTTGCCTGGTCCAAGAGCTTGCGTGGTCCAGGAGCTTGCTTGGTCCAGGAGCTTGCCTGGTCTAGGGGCTTGCCTAGTCCAGGAGCTTGCCTAGTCCAGGAGCATGCCTGGTCCACGAGTTTGCCTGGTCAAGAAGCTTGCCTGGTCCAAGAGTTTGCCTGGTCCAGGAGCTTGCCTGGTCCAGGAGCTTGCCTGGTCAAGGAGCGTGCCTGGTCCACAAGTTTGCGTGGTCCAGAAGCTTGCCTAGTCCACGAGCTTACCTGGTCCAAGAGCTTGCCTGGTCCAAGAGCTTGCTTAGTCCACAAGCTTGCCTCGTCCACGAGATTGCATGGTCCAAGAGCTTGCCTGGTCCAAGAGCTTGAATGGTCCAGGAGCGTGCCTGGTCCAGGAGCGTGCCTGGTCCAGGAGCGTGCCTAGTCCACGAGCGTGCCTGGTCCAGGAGCGTGCCTGGTCCAGGTGGTTGCCTGGTCCAGGAGCGTGCCTGATTCACGAGATTGCCTGGTCCAAGAGCTTGCCTGGTCCAAGAGCTTGCGTGGTCCAGGAGCTTG